GAGCCTGCCGACGTCCCAATATAGACAACGAAGACAAAGGAGGGGCCGTTCGCAGCCGGCGGGGGGAAGAAGAAGGAGGGGCCGTTCGCAGCCGGCGGGGGGAAGAAGGAGGGGCCGTTCGCAGCCGGCGGGGGGAAGAAGAAGAAGAGGACGAAGAAGAAGAAGAAGAAGAAGAAGAAGAAGAAGAAGAAGACTCCGATGAAACAGTTTGTCACAGCCCCTTGTTTGTTGCCCTCTTCTCCCTCTCTGCCTACAGTTTGACGATATATATATATATACCAGCTTAAACCATCATTCAGTGTTTTACATCACATGCGACGACCAATGAAACATACACGTATAGAAAAAAAAGAGTATATAAAGAGGTGGACGCACAATGAAGCAGAAGCGCAGCATACCAGGTCACGCAACTGGCTCCGCTCCTTTTCCCGCTTTTCCTTCTCTTTGGGCAGTCCCTGACAAGTGCCAGGAAAAAAAAAGCCACTTGTCAGAATCGTACATACATGCATTCCCACCGTTGATTGCAAATGCACGACAGTCCACGGACTGCAGTACTGTTTATTGGACAGCAAGCCCACTGCTTCACACACTGCAACAACTACAAGAAAGCCAATTCAGCAGCACTTTGAGAAAAGAAAAAATAAAACACGAAAACTTGAGAGGTCCTCAGTGTCAAAAAAAGAGCTCCGCAAAGACCAAAATGAACTCCCCAAGTTATATTCAAAGGAATTCCAACAGGCAAAAAGAAGTGTATCATACTCCACCAACGTGGCTGAGTGGTACACTGATGCAACAGTTGAAAAACAGATCATGAGTTCGAACCCTGCAATGATCAGAATGATACATTTAAGGTTTGAACGCTGAACAGACCATGAGCTTAGGACTTTGAATCCTTCAATAACCAAATACATACATCAAACCACCAGTCAATTTGAGTCTCCTTTTCCAATGTTTCTGCTGCACACAAAAAGGGAAAAAAGAAGGGACCCGGTCTGGACACAGAACTGCCCTTTTTGCCAGGTGGGCCCAACTCGTGATTTTGGGGCAGGTTAACCACTGCATCAGAACAGCTGGGAAATGGACCCGCGGTTCAGAGTACAAGGAGCCTTGCCGAGATGAACTCAATTCATGACCAACACGAACTCACTGATCAACATGGATGAGAAGACGAGCGCCGAGTAATAAACCACATGACCTAACCAGAGGGTGCATCTACCCATGAGAGACATGCATCAGACGGGTAGTGCCGAGATGAATTCAATTCATGACCAACACGAACTCACTGATCAGCATGGATGAGAAGGGCATTAGCATAAACTCAATACAACAGAGTAGTAATTCTCCACTCTCCCCTGATGCACGTCCTAACCAGAGGGTGCGACTACCCATCCTAATGCCTAGTCTATGCTACGCTACCCATCTACCATGCCACATGACCACTTGAAGAGTCTGACCATGCTGGAGCTCTTCCTGCCAACTACCAGGTAATACAACACCACCCTTCCCCCAACGGGCCTTCCTGTGTCACCCAAGGATCTCCTCCAATCTACTGCCATCCTTACTGTTTGAGGCACCACAGGGTGTGACTACCTATCCTGATGTCTAGTCTACACTCCACTCCCCACCCACCACACCACTCAGCTCTGCCATGCCCCTGCTGATGACCGCTTGAAGAGTCTGACCGTGCTGGAGCCCTCACTGCCCACCACCAGGTAAGTAATCACCAACCTTCCCAACCCTTACTGTTGTGACTACCTATCCTAATGCACCAGAGTCTACCCTCCACGCCCTGTCCATCATGTCATTGAGCTCTACAGTGCTTTTGTCATTCTCCCTACCCAGTGCCTACCATCAGGTAAAGGAATCACCAACTTTCGCAACAGCCTTCCTGCATCACCCAAGTATCTCCCTACTCTATCCCCACCATTGAACAAGGCACCCAAACAGCAACGGAGCATGTCTTCTTCCTCGGCACCTACCGACACAGTGGGAGGCGGCTGCACGGTTGTTTCCCTTCCCGACATGTGCTTTGACATCGTGCTGCTGCAGCCTAGCGGTGACCGGCATCCAGATGTCCCTTGGACTGGCCCAGCCTCACCTCATATACAGCAGCCTCTCCTGTTTCACTCAGTAGGTACTGCAGAATCGGCCGAAACCTAATGGGGCCACGCAGGTCCGCCTCCTCAGCCTACAAGACCAGCACTTTATGGGCCCAGGACCCAGAGCCTACCGAATCTGCACTGCAGTTCGGGGGGTTCGCAAAGGTTAGCGCTAAAGAAAAAAGTTCAAAAAAAGCTTATCATTAGATCCATCAATTTTTTGGCTATTCAGTAGTATTCACTCAAAAAGGCCACTTTCAGGTGGCCCTGAAACCCTCCTTCAGCTTGTATGCACCATAGGGCGATCCTGTCAACAACCCAAACCCATATCCGTCCTTTCCATGGAGCTCGAGATTAAAAAACCAAAAAAAAATCAAAAGAACTGCCAAGTGCACACTCACACAACGACTTTCATCAATGTATCAAAGCCTTTTCTCAAAAGATACTCATATGAGCATGCTCTCCCTACGCCATCTTTGCTGCCATCCTCGCTCCTTCCAAGTCTTTAGCCCTCCTCACTGCAAATAACCCCTTGCATTCCTTATTAAGTTATTCGCATTCAATCAACAATTTAAACGCCATTTATGATGCATGAAATAAGAAAGGTGCGGTAAAATTTTCAAAACATGCCAATCAGCGAGGGTTAAAACTTCGAATTTGAAAGCAAACCATCTTCGCTGCCATCCTCTCTCCTTCCATTCTTTTCTTCTTTTTTCCTAATGCTCACGACTCCACATCAGACCTTGCATGTCTCAAAAGCATCCATGAATGCATACATAAGAAAAAACAATTGTAAGCTGTGTTAAAATCCGGGCCGCCTGGCGGCCCAGCCTTCGTCCGGCAGGGGTCCCCAGCGGCTGTCTCTTATACACATCTAGATGTGTATAAGAGACAGGGGCGGGCCCAGTGCAATTTCGTGCCGGGGGGGGAGGGGGAGGGGGGGAGGCCTTTTTCGCGCAGTCGGAACATCCCCGGCCCCCATGAACACTTCGAAACATTTTGTTTCGAACTCAGGCCCAAGTGAGGCCGGGGGAAGGGCTTCTTAGGTGACTGATCTCAGCACCCGGCCTGCGAAGACCGGCGGCTGCGATCAGCCGCAAGAAACGACCTCGTTTCCCCCCATGCGGGCCTACCACGCCGCGTTCGAATTCGAACGTGGTATCCTCCAATGCGAAGCTGCCATCACGAAGCCCGCCCGTCGTAGCTGCTGTCTCCAAGCCCGCCGTCGTCGCTGCTCCTCCTCGTCGAGCTGCCATCGTCCCTCCCAGTTGAGCTGCCCCGTCAAGAACCAATCCACGTCCGCTGCCCGTGTAGCTGCTAGCGCCATCGGGGTGAAGCCGCCTCCACCTCCTCCTCCCTCTTCTTCTTCTTCTTCCCCTCCTCCTTTCGTCCTCTTCTTCTCTCCTCCTCCTCCTTTCCTCCTCTTCTTCTCCTCCTCCTCCTCTTCCTCCTCCTTTCGTCTTCTCCTCTCCTCCTCCTCCTTGTCCTCCTCCTTTCTCCTCCTCCTCCTCCTTCGTATCCTCTTTTTTTTTTTGTTTTTGGTCATCGCCATCGAAATCCGGCAGGTCCTCCTCCCCCTCCTCCTCTCCTCTTCTTTCTCTTCTTTCCCCCTCCTTTCGTCTTGTCCTTCTCTCCTCCTCCTCCTCCTCCTCCTCTCCTCTTCTTCTTCTCCACTGCCGGCAGGTCCTCCTCCTCCTCCTCCTCCTCTGTCTTCTTCTCCTCCTCCTCTTCCTCCTCTCGTCGTCTTCTCCTCCTCCTCCGTTCGTCTTCTTCTCTCCTCCAGCTCCTCCTTTCGTCTTCTTCCCTCCTCTTCCTCCTCCTCCTCCTTTCGTCTTCTTCTCTCCTCCTCCTTTCTCCTCCTCCCGATTTCATGTGTTTCCTTTAGTACGCGAAGTGCCACACGGCAACAGGACGCTGACAGCTGCCACGTGCCGGCATAGGCGAGCTGCAGTGAAATCCCGCCGCCAGTTGATGCACTGACGGGCTCTCTCTCTCTCTCTCTCTCTCTCTCTCTCTCTCTCTCTCTCTCTCTCTCTCTCTCTCTCTCTCTCTCTCTCTCTC